GGCAAAAAAATTCCCAGCTCCGCAGAGGCTGTCCTAGCACACCAGTCATACAAATATTCATTAACGGATTTTTCTTGTTGGAGCAGGCGGTCGAACATTAGGAGTGTTGAATTCCAACGTGTCAGGCTGTCACAAATCAAGCGCCTCACTGGCATGTTGTTTCGCCGCTGGATATCTGCAAAGTGCGCCATGGCCGTGTAGGAACGCCTGAAATGGCCACACACCTTCCTGGCCTGCTTCAGGACATCCTGTAAGCCTGTGTACTTATGCACAAAGCGTTGTATGATCAGATTACACACATGTGCCATGCATGGCACATGTGTCAACTTGCCCAACTTCAATGCCGCCAACAAATTTGTTCCGTTCTCACAAACCACTTTGCCGATCCCCAGTTGCTGCGGAGTCAGCCACTTTTCCACCTGTGCGTTCAGGGCGGACAGGAGTGCTTGTCCGGTGTGACTCTCTGCTTTCAAGCAAGTCAAACCCAAGACGGCGTGACACTGCCGTATCCGGGATGTGGAATAGTACCTGGGGAGCTGGGGGTGTGCCGTTGATGTGGAGCAAGACGCAGCAGCAGAAGAGGACTCAGCCGAGGAGGTTATGGAAGAGGATGGAGTAGGAGGAGTAGAGGAGGTGGCAGCAGGACTGCCTGCAAGTCGTGGCGGTGTCACCAACTCCTCTGCAGAGCCATGCATTCCATGCTTGGCAGCAGTCAGCAGGTTTACCCAATGCGCAGTGTAGGTGATATACCTGCCCTGACCATGCTTTGCAGACCAGGTATCAGTGGTCAGATGGACCCTTGCCCCAACACTGTGTGCCAGACATGCCATTACTTCCTTTTGCACAATCGGGTACAGGTTGGGGATTGCCTTTTGTGAAAATAAATTTCGTCCGGGTACCTTCCACTGCGGTGGCCCAATAGCTACAAATTTTTTGAACGCCTCAGACTCCACCAGCTTGTACGGTAAAAGCTGGCGGGCTAATAGTTCAGACAAGCCAGCTGTCAGACGCCGGGCAAGGGGGTGACTTTCTGACATTGGCTTCTTACTCTCAAACATGTCCTTGACAGACACCTGACTGTGGGCAGATGAGCGGGAACTGCTCAAGGCGAGAGACGGAGTGGCGGATGGTTGAGAGGGGGCAAGGAGGACAGCAGTGGTTGATGTGGCTGAAGATGCTGGACCAGGAGGAGGATGGTGGCTTTGAGTTTGTGTGCTGCTTGTACTCATGTGTTGATCCCATAGGCGTTTGTGATGTGCGATCATGTGCCTACGCAAAGCAGTTGTACCTAGGTGGGTGTTGGACTTCCCACGACTCAGTTTCTTTTGGCACAGGTTGCAAATGGCATTGCTGTTGTCAGAGGCAGACACACAAAAAAAAAATTCCACACTGCTGAGCTCTACAATGACGGCATTCTGGTGGTTGACACAGCATGCGTTGATTGGCGTGCTGTCGGGCTGACCCCGGGTGCCGATGCATGCTGTCTGTGCCACTAGCTCCTTGCGACGACCTCCCCCTGCTTCCAACTCGTCTCCTCCTCCTCTCTGTCTCCCCATCTGAACTTTCGCCCTGTTCTTCTTCTTGCCGAGCGGGCACCCACGTGACATCCATGGACGCATTTTTGTTTTTTAAATGCAATCTATTGCGACACCAGATAAGAGTGGTACTGTGCACTGGCAGAAGTTGGCAGAGTACACGCTGTAGGCTTGACACCTGCTTTCAGACAACTAACTGCTATTCAATCTATAACAGTAAAAAAAGTTTTGGTGTTTTTAAATGCAATCTATTGCGACACCAGATATGAGTGGCACTGTGCACTGGCAGAGGTTGGCAGAGTACACGCTGTAGGCCTGACACCCGCTTGAAGGACACTGACTGCTATTAGATTACAGTCATAAACGTTTTTTTGTTTTTAAATGCAAGCTATTGTTACAACAGATATGAGTGGCAATGTGCACTGGCAGAGGTTGGCAGAGTACACGCTGTAGGCCTGACACCCGCTTGGAGGACACTGACTGCTATTAGATTAGTCAACAACTTTTTTTGTTTTTAAATGCATGCTATTGTGACACCAGATATGAGTGGCACTGTGCACTGGCAGAGGTTGGCAGAGTACACGCTGTAGGCCTGACACACACTTATGAAGGACACTGACTGCTATTAGATTACAGTCATAAACGTTTTTTTGTTTTTAAATGCAAGCTATTGTTACAACAGATATGAGTGGCAATGTGCACTGGCAGAGGTTGGCAGAGTACACGCTGTAGGCCTGACACCCGCTTGGAGGACACTGACTGCTATTAGATTAGTCAACAACTTTTTTTGTTTTTAAATGCATGCTATTGTGACACCAGATATGAATGGCACGTGGCACTGGCAGAGGTTGGCAGAGTACACGCTGTAGGCCTGACACACACTTATGAAGGACACTGACTGCTATTAGATTACAGTCATAAACGTTTTTTTGTTTTTAAATGCAAGCTATTGTTACAACAGATATGAGTGGCAATGTGCACTGGCAGAGGTTGGCAGAGTACACGCTGTAGGCCTGACACCCGCTTGGAGGACACTGACTGCTATTAGATTAGTCAACAACTTTTTTTGTTTTTAAATGCATGCTATTGTGACACCAGATATGAATGGCACGTGGCACTGGCAGAGGTTGGCAGAGTAGACGCTGTAGGCCTGACACCCGCTTGCAGACAACTAACTGCTATTCAATCTATAACAGTGAAAAAAGTTTTGGGGTTTTTAAATGCAATCTATTGCGACACCAGATAAGAGTGGCACTGTGCACTGGCAGAGGTTGGCAGAGTACACGCTGTTGGCCTGACACACAGACGCTTGCAGACAACTAACTGCTATTCAATCTATTACAGTGAAAAAAAATGTTTTGTTTTTAAATGCACGCTATTGTGACACCAAATATGAGTGGCACTGTTCACTGGCAGAGGTTGGCAGAGTAGACGCTGTAGGCCTGACACACCCGCTTGAAGGACACTGACTGCTATTCAATCTATAACAGTGAAAAAAGTTTTTTGGTTTTTAAATGCAAGCTATTGTGACACCAGATATGAGTGGTGGCACTGGGCAAGTGGGCACAGTATCCACTGTGAGCCTGACACAGAAGCTGGCAGGCAGGCAGGCAACTGCAATTAGATTACACAGGGAAAAAAAGCAGACTGATGTTCTAGTCCTAAAAAGGGCTTTTTGGGGTGCTGTCCTTACAGCAGAGATCAGATGAGTCCTTCAGGACTGTAGTGGACACTGAATACACTAGCCTAGCTATCCATTTCCCTATCAAATCAACAGCAGCTACACTTTCCCTCCTCTCACTAAGAATGCAGCTTCAGAATGAATCTAAAATGGATGCTGTCCAGTAGGTGGGAGGGTCTGCTAGGGAGGGTGTGCTGCTGATTGGCTGGAATGTGTCTGCTGACTGTGAGGCACAGGGTCAAAGTTTGTTCAATGATGACGAATAGGGGGCCAATCGAACCGCGCATATGTTCGCCCGCCGTGGCGAACGCGAACACGCTATGTTCGCCAGGAACTATTCGCCAGCGAACCGTTCGGTACATCACTAGCGGTGAGGTGATCTCGCTGTGCTGGGAGAGATGGAACCCTCCTCGCGTGCATTCCACCTACTGCGTCCGCTCTGCGTTCCACGGTTGCTCGGTAGCTGCAGTTGTTTCAGTATGCGGCTGTATGCCAGAATGCCTCTGAGGAAGTGACTTTGAATCATCACAAAATGCGTAATGTATTCAGGCATACAGCCGCATACCGAAACAACACTACCCACTCTTGCAGACCCCCAGGACTCATTTGCTGCTTTATTACACTTCATGTTCGTGAGTGGATTTTAATTTTTTATTTTGATTAATAAATTTGAAGCTTTTAATTGAAAAGCACTGCTACCTCGCATTTTTAGCTTATATCTTGGAGCAACCATTATTACCATATACCTGTTATAGTGGTCTGTGAGTAATACTATCTTTTATGTAACATTTTGACATATTTTGTTTGCATTTTATTTTATTTTACCAACACCGGTTATACTGTGTCTTCAGTCTGATACATGAATGTTACTATCTGTTTCTAAATGGATAGTTACACAATGTGTTGACTGTGACAGTGAAATCATTCTATATCAGGTCCATTTTCTGCGTCAAACTAATTTTGGTATCCAGAACACCAGTTACTGACTTTTATCGTTTTATCATAAAGTTGGACTCATTCTACAAAGTATTGGACTACTGAGTGGTATATTACACAATAGATGGGACTGTGCAGATCTCTATTTCTGCCAAAGACCATTTAGGTCATATTTGGATTTTTTTCATTGCTATTATATGTCTGCTGAACATTGATTGTTTAGTTAACATTCCCCTCCTATGTGCGATCACTTAGTACTTGGCTGACATCTAGTTTCTGTTTTTTTACCCGTTTATATGTTTGCTATTGTCATTTAAAGTTTTTTAAATTCTTCCAACTGTATCGGTTCTATTTTGCACTTTACTTCTTAGAGCTATCAATAAGAATATTAGACTTCATCTTTTATTGGTTTAGGGATCTCCTGGTACGTGTAGGCTTTTATACCTATTTTTATTCATAAAGTTGATTTGGTGCCTATATTGTCCTTTTAATCCTTCTATGGACACATCCCGGAACCTCACAGTCAGCAGACACATCCTGGGAGGGAGGGTCTGCTGCTGATTGGCTGGAATGTGTCTGCTGACTGTGAGGTTCCGGGTCAAAGTTTACTCAATGATGACGAATAGGGGGCGGACCGGAAATCGCATATGTTCGCCCAACGTGAACACGCTATTGTTCGCCGGCGGACAGTTCGCGAACAGTTCGGCGAGCAGTTTGCGACATCTCTACTTGTAACATGTTGCCTTGAATCAGATTTTCTTGGGTCAAGAAATAGCGAGTGCGAGATGTGGTCGGCGTGTCTAAGTGTGACCCGGCAGTCCTGCCTCTGTAAGTAATCGTAATACCCCTCAGGGTCTACTCATGGGTATATGTAACCTTGGGTACAGGTCTTTCCCATCTTTCCATACATTTTGGAATTTCTGTGTTTTTGCACTGTTGTTTAATGTCATACACTCATATATATAATATTGTTGGATCTTGTCACATAGTTGTGATTTTGAGGGGCACATGTGCGATTTCCAGTGTGTGACTAGGAAGTTCCTAGCGGCTAGAAGTGTGATGGCGCATACCTGCCTGTGTTCTCTAGCGAGATCAGTAGGAAATAGGAGCATTAGGTAGGTTTGCGGGGTTGTTGGTAGCTTCGATTTGTCTAATTTTTCTAGCGTTTTCCGGACCTGTATCCAGATTGGTTGGATGTTTGGGCAGGTCCACCATGTATGTAGGAATGACCCGGTCGTTGTTGAGCACCTCCAGCATACTGGTGGTACATTAGGGTAGATTTTGTGTAGTTTTTGTGGTGTCATATATCACCTGTAGATTAGTTTCCTGTGGGCTTCTATGTGTGTGTAGCATCTAGTGAGTTTAGATAAGTTATTGAGGGCCCTTACCCAGTCATCGTCTGATAATTGAAGGGAACAATCCTCCTCCCATTTTGTTCTACAAAGTGGATTATGCTTTGGTGTCGTGCTTTCCCACATTTTGTAGCATAAGGATATGGTTTTTGGTTTGCCGGGAGTGGTCCAGCATCTATCAAGAATACCTTCAGTAGGTAGTGATTTGTCTTTTGGCATGGTGTGGTGGTTGTGCACATGAGTCAAAATAGTTCCTTTGAGTCTCAGGTATGTGAACATTTCCGTAGCTGGTAAGTGCCATTGGGTCTGTAGGTCAGCAAATGGGATTACTTCCCCGTTATCTGTTAATTGATAGATTGTGGGTATAATAAATGCATCCCACACTCCAAGAGTGAAGGTTTTGGTGGGAAATAGGCTCAAGTGAGGGGTACGTAGGTGTTTGGGTTCCATAAGAGATCAACAATATCATAATCTGGTATTTGTGCTCTTTCCATATCTCCCCAATTTAGGTCTCCTTTAGGCAAGTGTAGGAGTATTCCTGCTGCTAGTGCCGCAGCCTTATAGTATTTGGTAATATTTGGAAGGCCTACTTCTAGGGAGACAGGGGTCTAACCTGGGTGTGTAATAATTTGTTAGGTATTCTGGGTTTCTTGTTGTCCCAAATAAAGGTGTTGCATGTAATTTGTAGTGATTTAAGTAGGGATTGTGGTATTTTACGGGGAAGCATTCGGCAAACATGTAGGATCTTTGGTAGTATGAACATTTTAAATGCGTTAATTTTCCCTAACCAGGAAAGATGCGTGCTTCCATGCCAGGGTTTCTGTCTTACATATGTGTGGTAAAGGTAAGTAGTTGAGTTTTATCATTGTGGCAATGGATGTCGCAATTTTAACTCCCAGATAAGTGAGAGATGAAGATCTCCAGTCAAATTGATATTCGTCTTTCAGTAATGTTTTTAGCCCTGAGGGCATGCCAATTGGCAGTGCTTGGGTTTTGTCCTGGTTGAGTTTGTAATGAGAAACAAGGCCGAACTCTTTAAGGGTTTGCATAAGGTGAGGAAGGGATTTTTCCAGGTCTGCCATTGACACCAAAACATCATCGGCAAACATCGCCAATTTGTGTTCTTGGCCTAGCATTTGGATTCCTTTGACATAGGGATTTGTACGTATTTTAAGTGCTAATGGTTCCAGTGACCGGATATACAGGGGAGGGGAGAGAGAGCATCCCTGGCGTGTCCCATTTGTGATGTGAAATTCATCGGAGGTGAAGCCCCTGGTTGAGACCTTGGCTGCTGGGGCGCTGTATAATGCACCTATCCCTCTAACCATTTTGAGCGGGAATCCATAGGATTTCAGGACTTTCGACATATATGCCCAGTTGAGGCGGTCAAAGGCCTTCTCTGCATCTAGTGCTAGGAGAAGGCCCTCGCTTTTGTCCCTCTCCATTTGTGCTAGTATATTGAGGATTCTATGAGTATTATCAGAGCCCTGACGGCCCCGGACGAACCCCGACTGGTCATTGTGCACTAACTGTCTGAGGAGTGGAGCTAATCTATTACTTAGTACTTTGGCATACAGTTTAGCGTCTCCGTTTAATAGGGAGATTGGTCTGAAATTTTTACATATTGTCAGTGATTTTCCAGGCTTGGGGAGGGTGGAGATATGGGCCATAAGTATTTCAGCAGGAAGAGATCCCCGTTCATTGCTCTGTCGGTACAGATTTAATAAGTGTGGAGAGAGGATATTTACAAATAATTCGTAATAAGTATTTGTAAGGCCGTCAGGTCCCGGTGATTTGTTAGCAGGCAGGTCCGCAATTGCTAGTGTGACTTCCTCCAGGCATATGGGTTTTCGTAGGGACTGTACTGCGGTTGGGGTCAGTAAAGGCAAGCGCAGATCTGTCAAGAACTTGTCTATGTCTGTTGTGGTCGGGACATTAGTAGCCTCGTCCTCGCTCAGGTTTTACAATTTATGGTAATACTCTGCAAATGTATTAACAATTTCCCCGGGGTCAATGATTTTTTGACCCTTCCCGGTTTTGAGGTAGGCAATCCTGGAGGCGATTGTTTATTCTTTTAGTTGTGCTGCCAGTTTAGCTCCAGCTTTATTCCCTGCTGCAAAGAATTTATGTTTTGATTTTTGTAGGAGGCAAGTAGTTTTTGCCAGTTCCATATCCCGCAGTTTGGTCTGTAATGCTAGTAGGGTTCAATGTGTGTCTAGAGTGGGCGAGTGTTTGTTCCTATGTGTGAGAGATTTAATCTCATTGATGAGGGCCAGATATTGTGCTTGCGGGGTTCTCCTAGCATGGCTTGCGTGTTTAATGAAACTGCCTCTAATGACTGCTTGTGCTAGCCAAATGTAGTCTGGGTCTATATCTGGTCTGTCATTGTCCGCAAAGTAATTTTGCAGGTTCAGTGTGATTTGTTTGACTTTGTGCGGATTCTTGAGTAAGGCTTCATTTAGCCTCCAAGAGGTTCGACCATTGGTAGGGAATCTATCCTCGAGTGTCAGTGTGATAGGAGCGTGGTCTGACCACGTAATGTCGCCAATGCCCGCATCCAGTACTTTTGCGAGTGAGGCAGTTCTGATCAAGAATCTGTCAATTCTGGAGTGACTATTGTGTACTGCAGTATGACAAGTGTAATCAATTTCAGTGGGGTGAATTATTCTCCAGGGGTCTACGTAATCATGTGTTGATAGGATGTTACAGATGTTATGAGATTGTGTGAGCCGTGTCTTTGAGGTGGTGGGTGCCAATGTGTCTGAGGCAGATGAGTCTTTGGTACTGTCTAGGAGAAGGTTGGTATCGCCTCCAAGTATTACCTCCCCAAAGCTGTACAAATTCAACATAGCAAATACCTGGGTCATAAATGCTTCTTGATTGTCATTGGGCCCATAAATATTCATTAAGGTAAAGGGATTGTTATTCAGATGACACTGAATGATGAGATATCTACCTTTCTTGTCACTGATTTTGCGGATGAATTCAAAGGTTACGTTTTTGCTTATTAGGATAGAGATCCCTCTTTTTTTTGTAGAATAACAAGAATGATGGTCTATAGGAAACCAGGGAGAGTTAAACCTGGGCCGGGAGCCCCATTTGAAATGGGTTTCTTGAAAGAAGGCAACTTGTGCTTTCTGTTTTTTAGCTTCCAAGAGTGCTAGTCGCCTTTTATGAGGCGAGTTCAACCCCTTTGTGTTTAGAGAGAATATTTTGATCGACATTGTGCCAGAAAGTGGTTAACGGGTTATAGCAATTGAGATCTTCTCTCGACTCGCAGTCCTGTCTCGCTACAGTTCTGTGATTTGGTGGTAAGGAGAAGGTAAGGTGGGGTGGGTGACAACTTATAACAGTTTAACGTGAACTATATACAAACCCATTAGCCGGGTGGCCTAGCGCAGTATTCTGCAAACGGATAAATTTATGGCTTGGTAGGTAAGCCGTGTGGGGTATCGTGGGAGTTGCTCAGTTGGGTACTTTGTAAGTATTTTCTAGGGTTAAACAATTCAGGGTATATCTATTGTTGTACAGTCTTGCGCATATATTTGTAATCCTCTTATCAGTTACACTTTTCAGGTGGTACCTGATAATGGTTCAATTATAACATAAGGTTGGCAGTATAGATCTAGTAACTTTAACAACTTTTCTTTTTTTCTATCCGCCTAGTGTGGACTCTTGGCTGTGAATCACATTGCAAGTGAAAACAGCTACGAGGTTACACAGGCTCTCAGTTTCACAGTGTTTATACGTATCTGAAAGCTCTCAATGGTGATCGATGGCCTCAAGGCCCGATGTATCAGTGTTCCGTGGTCCCGTCGCTCTAAAGTCTGTGCGTGCCATGGGATGGATTGCGAGTCTTTTGCGTTTTTTCTAGGCGGCGACGCTGCTGGTGATCTGGAGTTGGCAGGTTGTGCTACAGGGATGTTCCATTCTCTGAGTAGTTTCACACCATCCCTTGGTGTGAGGATGATTTTATCTGTACCGTTTCGTTTCAGCAATAATTTCGCCAGGAATCCCCATTTGTACGGAATAGCGGCATTGCGTAGAGCCATGGTAATAGGTGCAAACGCTCTTCTTTTAAACATAGTCGTCGCGGATAAGTCTATGAAAAGTTTAACGTCTGTAAACGGGTTTGGCAGTGTCGGATTGCTGCGTGAAGCCTGCATCAGTTGGTCTTTCACTGTGAAATAGTGAATTCTTGTGATTACATCCCTTGGTGTTGAGGGCGGCAGATGCCTCGGTTTCGGCAGTAGGTGAGTGCGGTCTAGGCGTAAGTCTGAGGTCTTTAGTGTCGGGAATGAGTGCCCGAAACATATCCTGCACGAACTTAGTTAGGTCTTGCGAGCCTACAGCTTCAGGTGCACCTCTCAATCTAATATTATTTCTCCTTTCCCTATCTTCATTGTCTGCTATTTTCCCCTCGAGGAAATTCACTTTTTGCTGCAGAGCTGTGTGTGCTTCTGCTAGTTCGTTATGTGCTTCACTCAGCCCTTCTGTTGTCTCTTCCAAGTGTGCCATCCTATCTCCTAAGGACTGTATGTCTGCCTTGATGTCCGCCGCCATTTTAGAGAAGTCGGACCGCAGACTTTGTTGTAGTGAGTGTAGCATTTTACTCACGGAGGCATCCGTGGCCGGTTGTGTGCAGGGGATGTCAGGGATATCTTGGTCCTCCCCAGTATCACAGCTCGAATTTGCGGAGTTTGATCCGTCGGCGCCATCTTGGTTGCCGTTATTCCCCATTGTTAGGTGTGAATGCAGCGTTTTCTGTTTTAATTTTTGGTTCATTTGTTGGACATCTTTTCCCCCGTGTCCTCAACAGCTTGTGGATGTGTCGCTGTGTGAAAATTGCTGTGAATCTCGCTGTTGTAGTCCACTTAATGGCGAGCTCTCGGTTTATGCTACTGCTTCCATGCGGTTTCCAATTTACATATATTTCTAATATTAAAGCTTACCTAGAGTTCAGTGCCGACATTAAATGACAGATATGTCGAAGGTGACCAATTATACAGATAAAGATTGTGCTCAATATGCCATCCATGTCTTTTGTGCTGATGGTAATAAGATTAACACAATATAGGCAAAACATCACAGGCCTCTGATGAGACCTCTAGTGGCTAAAAAAAAAAAGGAGAAGGCAACACAGGAAAAATGACAAATGGAAATAAAAACCTATGGATATACTATCAAGAAAAAAAGTGTTATGAACTTGTCTTCTTTATCCTTGACTGATGATCAAATATCTCTACTTGCTGAGGGTCTTCATTTTGCTCCAGTGAATATTTCTTATCTATTTAACACTTCTATTGATGTGAACAGATACGTTAGGAACTTTTAGTTATTAAAAGAAAAAAAATGAAGGAAAATATCAGGTATCTCCTACTACTAATGTGATTGTGTTAATGTGAGTTGTTTTCAGCAAGCAAGACATAATATTTAGTATTGTGGTTTTT